GGAATATATATATATATATTATATATATATGCATAATATCAGAGTTTAAGAGAATCTGATCTTAAACCTATCTTTTGGTTCCACTTTTAACTTACTTGCTAGTTCCTAGTACACCAAAACATGCAGTTACCTAGAACTTTTTGAACTGGATTAAATAGTTATGAGTTAAGGTCTTGCTGTTTGTTAGCTACTGTGCTGAACTTTCCATGTCAATATTTTCTCATTTAATCCTTTTCACCCTTCAGTTAGATATTACTTCTGTATAAACAAGGAATAGTGTTCAAGGAGACTTAATTGGCTCCATTTACATAAGACAGCAAGTAGTGAAAGGGAAAGCTATTCCCTTTTGGGTCTAATTTCAAAGTCCATCCTCAGTCTTAACCCCCGGGGCTTCACACAATTTGCAATCAGATATGGATCTTCACCCCTCCTCTGGGTTTTAGTTGACAACCTGGAAATGGAGGACACCCTGAGGATTGTTGCTGTGTGAGGATTGGTGTGGGAGAGGGAAAAGGGAGGGTTCAGGAAGAGTGCCTGGTTACATCCGTGTTTTTCCAGGATGCTTTCTGGGGAAACTTTCTCAGAGAGGTCCTTTCGGTAGCTCAGCTCCTAAACCTAACTGCTGTGCGCTAAGTGGGGTGCCACTGATATCATGGAGGTGATTTCCCTGTTCACGGTATACTAAGAGACAAGCAGTAAGTGAAGCATTTTAAAACGGTCTGCCATGTAATGCTCTCAGCATCGCCAACAGGACATGCCATCTTAATTGCTGATTCAGAGCTAGCTGTAATTGGCATATCTAAGTCTTGAACCCAGAGCTGACTCCAAAGCCAGTACTGTAATGTCTGGCTCTGAAATGTTCCTTGACTCTGCAATAACTCTCTTTGGAAGCCCAGCAGGTAAGTGGTACTTTACCTTCGGATGGGAACCACTACTCCCAAGTCTGGGAGTCAGTTTGCCATCTGTTAATTAGATTTGCAAGCACTGGGGTCATTGTTGTTAGTATTGAATATTATCTCTAGACCTCTCCTGCGTGAGCAGTCTTCCCAAAATGATATTAAAGTAGTTTGGCCTGCCCTGCAGTATTAAGAAAATAGAATTTTTCATCCCCTCTTATACATAGTAAGCTTAGGATAAGAATCTTTGCTGTACAAGGAGAATTGGGTAACTTCACTTGGGAGCTATCTAGTAGCTTCATAGCTTTTTTGGTATGGTTTCAGAAAGGAGGGGCCACTTTGTGAAGAAAAACCGGTTGAACCCCAAAGAGGACTGAACCTGAATTTAAGCCACATCTGCTCTCCTCCCAGTTCCCCCATGTTCAGCAGTTGCACTTGCTCCACATCTGGGTTGCCCAACAGGACAACTGTAGAAGGGGCCACCACCAGCTGCTAACATAAAATAGGTGCTTTCCTCCACGGGTTTTCAGAGCCTCCCAAATGCACCTGGTCTGATACTAGCAGACTTCTTGTGTACAAATTTTGAGTAATATAAAATCAAAGCTATTTTCTGAATATAGATGTTCTTTTTAACTAGAAAAGGACTGTTTGCAATCGGAATTATAGCAGTGATTTTAAAAATAGGGATGTCAGGACAGGGGATTTACCTCAGTGGCACTGTGCCTGATTTGCAGCACAAGGCTGTGAGTTCAATCCCAGGTACCTCAGAAAATAGGGATGTCAACAGGTAGTTATTTCAGAATAGTGAATATTTCCTACATATAACAGAAGAAGGTCTGCTATCCGACACACAAATTCTACCTCAATAGAAAAGCCATTTATTCTGAAATCAATCTTTTATTCCAGATTACAGGATCTATAATGGTCTTTAAAATTACTGGGTTTTCTTGAGTGTGATGGAATCACATTCCTTTGCCTGATTAACCCCTTACCAGCCTCGTTCTCTGCATCTCATCCATCCGTGACAATGTTTTGACACTGGAAGTTGGAGAAGCAGCCACAGCCAAAAGTGTTTTGCAGCCAATGGAACTCCTGTTGTCTTGGCTGTCCCGCAGCTACCAAGACTGTGTGGGCTACACCCTTTTGTGGGTAATACTGACAAGGGTTATTGGCACTTCTTCCAGCACGGTGATGAATACAACATCTCTCCAGATTTGTAATTAATTAGCTCTGGCAGGAGGTCACCAATACCCAATGACTCCAAAGTGAATTTAAATGAAAACCCCAGAGTGAGCCTCATTTTTTAAAGACCGTTGTCTCTGTTTTTGCCAAGGTCAGCTTTGTAAGGCCATGTACTTATTTTCTTAACCTGTTAGAGGAGCTTGTGGATTACAAATGTATGGTGATACAGTCTGACTGAGTTGAGTTACCTGAAGACCCGGGCCAAGTGACAAAACTGCAAGTTGAATACTATCTTCCCTGGTACCTCCACACCATTGTGCAGGTCCATTGTGTGTCAGATTCCTACCTAGCTACAGAATGGGGGTGTGATACCTACCTGGTGGTCAAATGACTCAAAGCCTACAAAGCATCCCAGCAGAATATTTGGTGCATAACAAGGGCCTAACATGTGGTCCCGATCATTATTTGCACGCTTTGCAGAAATGAGCCATGGGACAATTAATTTTCAAAGCCTACATCTATAGGCACAGAGTATTCTGTCATATTCACCCTATACCCTTAAAGCTACTAAGCTCTCACTTGTAATTCCTCCTACTGTAGAAATGGAAAAGAGAAAGTATTAAATGATAGGCCCCATTTCAACTTCCAATTAACTCCAAGGTAGGAAAGCATTTTGGGGGTATACATAAGAATTTGTTCATTAGAAAATAGAAGTGTTCCTAAATTGAATATAGTGTCTATATTTATAATGGTGCTGGCGTAAATTGATACATTTTTGTGGGTAGCAAATTTAGTGAATGTGGGCTCTGGGGACAGATTTCTCAATTTTTGATATTTGTGGGGGTTTGGGGGATCTGGGAATCAGACTCAGGAGCCCTTACCACTGAGCTGCATGCACAGCCCCATCTATCTATCTATCTATCTATCTATCTATCTATCTATCTATCTATCTATTTTTTAAATTTTGAGACATGGTCTTACTAAGTTACACAGGCTGTCCTCGAATTTACAGTCCTCCTGCCCAGGCTCCCAAATAGCAGGGACTACTGGCATGTACCATTCTACCTGGCCCAAGTTCTAATTTTGATCCCACAGGGTACAAGCTCTGTGACCTTGGGAAAGTCACTTAATTTTTCTATTTCTAGGTTTCTTCACTTAAAAAGGAAATAATAATGTCTACCTCAAAAAAATATATCAAGTCACTTAAAGGAGTTCACATCATATCTTAACTACTTCCTTGTTGGTGGGAGTGCAGACTGGTGCAACCACTGTGGAAGTCAATATGGAGGTACCTCACACAAGTAGGATTAGAGGTTCCATTTGAACCAGATATTCCTCTGCTGGGTATCTTTTTTTTTTTTTTTTTTTTTTTTTTTGTGTGTGTGTGTGTGTGTGTGTGTGTGTGTGGTTTTTTGAGACAGGGTCTCACTGTGTAGTTGAGACTGACCTAGAACTCACTGTGTAGTCCAGGCTGGTCTCGAACTCACAATGATCCTCCTACCTCAGCCTCCCAAGTGCTGGGATTACAGGTGTGCACCACCACACACGGCTTATACTGAGTATCTTTCCAAAAGAATTAAAAGAATCATACCACAGCGATATATGCTCATGTAGCCACACGGTTTGTAATAGCTAAAACTTGGAAAGAGCCCAATTGCCCATCAACTGGAGACTGGATAAAGAAGATGTGTGTGTGTGTGTGTGTGTGTGTGTGTGTTCATAAAGAATGAGAAACTAGAGATATTTATAGCTAAGTGGATTCACATTGAGGCCATACTCAAGTGAAATTAATGTCATGAAAATAAATACTGAATAGTTTCTCTTGTGTGAAAAGCAGTGTAAATTATGATCAAAATGTATAATTGATACTGTGTAATAGGAAGGAAAGGTTTAAAAGTAAAGGAAGTAAGAGGGAGGGGTAGGGGAAAGGGAAAAAGGGAAAAGAAAATAATGGAAACAATGTCTTTGTAAACAGGGAAGGGTGGAGGGGGGAAGGGAAACTAGAGGAATGGGGAAAAATAAAAACCAAGATAAGTCATGTAAAGGTAGAAGATCCCAATGATGAATGCAACTGTTGTATCCCTAAAATGTACCAATAAACTTAATAAAGATAAAAATAAATAAATACTGTATTGGAAAATAGTCTGGCAAGAAGTAGAAAGAACCTAGATACCATGTGTATCATTTCTGGGGATCTGAAATCTAGAAATGGTACACGAAGATGCTTCCCTATGGCAATGAAGGCAAGGAACAGGGTTTGGGATGAGGCTAGTATAGATAAAAAGCTTTCATTCATTCATTCATTTGGTGGTACAGTGGTACCTCAGTTCATGAATTTAATTCTTGACACGATTCTGGTTGCAAACCAAATTGGATGAAAACCGAATCATAGTCAATGGTCAGGCTCAGTGTTGACCTTATGGGGAAATTTGATTTGGTCCTCATCCATTTCAGTTTGCAACCAGAATCGTGGAAAGAATTGAGTTCATAAACTGAAGTACCGTTATACTGGAGATTAAATCCAGAGCTTTTGTGCCGAACTACATTCCCAGCCTGCCTCGTCCTTTTAAATTTTTTATTTTGAGACAATGTCTGGCTAAGTTACCTGGTCTGGGATCAAGCTTGTGATCCCTCTACCTCAGCCTTCCAGAGTGCTGAGACTACAGGGATGTGCACCTCACTCAATCCTAAAAGCATGTTTAAAAACATTCACTGCTTTTAAAAATTTATTTTTATTTTTATTTATTTATTTTTTTTTGATGCAGGGTCTTGCTATGTGGTTCAGACTGGCCTTGAACTCACTGTGTAGCCCAGGCTGGCCTCAAATTCACAGCAACCCTCTTGCCTCAGCCTTCTCAGTGCTGGATTACAGGTATGCACCACCATGCATTTATTAAAACCAAGGAAAACAAATTTGTAAGTGACAGGTCCAATTAAATACAGCCTTGAGAGAGCTCTGAACAGTCTGTAAGCCCTTAGAGGTGGTTTAAGAAGCAAGATACGTAGCTGAGTCTTAGTTTTAATGCAGCTTTCTTAACAGGTTGGGCATCAACAGGGACATAGCTGGAAGATGGATCTTCATCTAAGACCAGAGAAATAAAAGTGATGACAGGAAGGGATGGAAGGCATCAAGCAAAGTCAGTATATAGGTAAGAAAACTAGGAAAAAAGATAAGACTGAAAGTCAGGAATAGCTGAAACAAATCATAAATGTACAGCATAGGCTCTTAGGCAGGCCTGGCTGCTACTGGACACTAAAATCTTATTGGTCAAAAACAGCTTTCATATTTTCTGCTGGAAAGGTAGCTTTTTTGGGGAAAGGGGTGTTTTGATTTTGTCTTCTCACTGTGAGAGTAGTTAAGGGGAAAAGGCCTATTTATAACTTGAGTAGAATACCATGCTTTACCCAAAATAAACTTCCGTTTTGAATTGTTTTTAGAATAAGAAACACCAAATAATTTTCAGTGTGCTTGATTTTTATATTTGAGGCATATGAAGTTATTTCAAAAATCACAAAGGGGATAATTTTAACAAGAGATTTAAAATTGATAAGTCTTCTGTTGATCCGTATTTATAGTTATTTATCTACACACACTTATGTGCTTCTAGAACAAAATGTTTGAAATTTTTTTTAATTCAAGCATAGTATGTGCAAAACTGAAGTCATTGTTCTTTGCCCCAGCCCAAACCCTCTGCTGTCTTAAACCTCATCTTGGGAAATGGCACCACACGGGCGAATGCTCAAGGTGGAATGAGGGTATCCTAGCTCATCTCCCTTGCTCTCTGCATGTAATTAATTCATTCTTTCAACTAACATTTACTAAGTGCCAGGCATTCTCATAGTCTTCCAGAGAACGTGGAGTTAAGAATATGAGATTGACGTTCCTCCGATGGTCTTGCCAGTGAATGTACAAGATACAGATGGAGAGAAAGTTTGGAGGAAAAGGAAATGCACAGGACTATGGACTTCCCTGGAATGTGGCCCTTGTTTGGACTCTGGTTCCTCTATGCAAAGGGTTTTAATCAAGAGCAGGTGATGGACGTGATCCAAGGTGTTTTCGAAAGGAGTACAGCCATGCCAATTCTGTCTCTCCACCTGTTCCCTTGTGTATATTCCTTTTCCTCAGTCCCCATGACCATTGCTGGTATGAGCCTCTGTCAGCTTGCCCCAAACAAGTTCTTCCCCCAAAGTGTTGATGACACATCTCATTATTAAAAACATCTTGACTATGCCTGCCCAACATGATATGTATATGTTGGGATTCACACATGTGGAAACGATCATTACGTACATTAAAAGCATTCAGAAAAAAATTTAAAATTCAAATAGGACTTTACATTTTTAGACTTATTTGTTACCAATATTTTATTCTATTACTAAAACATTTCTAATCATTCAATTTTTCCACATTTTGGTGAGACAAATTTGATTCAGTATACGTCACTATTATTTTTTTAAATTGTCAGTTAACATTCTGCAAAACAGTAATTCATAAGCCGGTTCCAAATTTGGCTTATTTAGATGTCATAGCTGAAAAAGACCTCACAACAACATATAGACTTAGCAGCGGCCATGCCCCCTGGGCTGCAGTCCCGAGCCATGCCACCCATTACTGTATCACATCCACTAATTTACAAAGCTTCAAGTCTACAAATGTGCGCTTAGAGAATCATCATTAGTGATGATGGAAGTGAACCCATCCACAAATCCTGCCTCATAACCCTGAGTATGACAGACTTGTCATCATATCAGACTAGAGATGGTCATTGCCTTACCTTAAAATTGTGACCAAGCACAGAGCTCTTAGTAGGAGTGAAAGCATCAGCTCTGCTTTTCTTGCTTCTGTGTGCTTCTGTTATTACTTATTTATTTTTGCAGTGCGGAAGTTAGAACCGAGGGCCTCAAACGTGAAAGAAAAGCCCTTCACCACTGAGGCCCAACCTTAACTCTTTTATGTATTTAATCTAAAGCTTATTCAGAGGGACCTTCTAAGTCTAACTGTCCATTCTGGGAGGACAAGTTAAGCTTGATATATCAGACAACATAAATTCATAAATTCACTCAACTAAACACACAGAAACTGCAGGACATTTAAATATAATAAAAGGACATAAACCAACAAGGGTATTGTGGTCATCCTCCCTGTGCTCCTTCCTTGAGATACTTTCAGGACCCAAGAAGCATCATCGGGCAGGAAGGCAGGAGCATGTGGTTGCAGCTGGATTGTGATAGCTGCTTCTGGTGACAGAGTGTAAAGGAAGCAGGAGACGCTCCATCAGAGCCCAGTAATCAAGGGCCAGGTGCAGCTCTGCACCGCGCTGTGTCCTCGGCTCCCTAACAGGAGCAGGGGGGCTGGTGTGATGACTCCTTCCCTGATGCTTCCTTGAGAGACAGGCAGGGTCCCGGCACCACTACTCTGTGGGTCGGCTGGCGTTGGGCTCACAGACTGCAGCCCCCCGTGGCACAGTCACTGTTGTCCATTTTCAGTGGTTTGTTAAAAAAAACTGTGAAGAGAGGTGTTGCTCTGGGTTGAGGTGGTTGCCAGTCCCTCACCAGAAGGGGAGTCCAGGGTGTCCCCCCTCCTGGCCTGTTTAGCCAACCCGCATCCTGACCCCCACCAAGCCAAAGTGTAGCCTTTGTCTTCCCATTCCTTCCTTCTCTTTCCCTTTTTATGCCTACTTTCTTGAAATAGTTGATCTGTAATTTATTTTTATAAACTATAAAAATGACTAAATGGTTAAAATAGACTTGCAGGCCAATCTTAAATGGGATGGGAGGGTGGGATATGGAAAGAGAAAGATGTTCTGATATAAACAAAACAAATGTACTTTGGGTGTGTTTTGGAATTTTTCTGGGGTATTGGAGGTGGCTGTTTGGATGTCCGATGGATTGATCTCAGAACGAGGTATCTCATGGGTATGTTTACCTTTCCTTGGTACTACAGGTCCTGTTTGAAAAGCCTGTGTCTGATTCCTGGCTTCGCGTGTCAGTTCAGGAAATATTTGATGTGTGTGTTGGTATCTCCTGTTTATGATTGCTGTACTGCCTCTTTTCTTTTTGGGGAGGGGTAGAAGAGATTTGAAGTAAAAATGTTTATACACTTAGAAAAAAGAGAGTGATGCCTTGAGTGCTCTAAGTGACAGGAGCCATTTGGTAGTGGAGCAGAAGGAAGGCTGCTGTCAAGCTATTAACATGAACAGAACTGCTTACATACTTTTTTTCCTGAGGTCCAGTTGTGACCCTGTGTTAGCCTTCCGTGAGAGCATTTTAACTGGACTCCCTCTTCCGACCCTTCACTGCTTTAGTCTTTCTACTACTGTTTAGCAGTTGCTTCCTTGGGAGGCCATTTTTGAAACCCAAACTATTTTGTCTTTACCTCATGGAAATTATCTGGACAGAGACTATTTTCGTCATCAGGTTGCAAACTTTACAAGGGCAGATGCCATTCTCTCTCTCTCTCTCCCTCTCTCTCTCTCTCTCTCTCTCTCTTTTCTTCCCTTCCCCTTTTTTCCTTCCTTTTTCTTTCCTTCTTTTTTTTTCCCTTGCTCTCTCTCTCTCTCTTTCTTTTGCCCTAGGTTAACAAATGTTTGGTGTCACCTCAGATGCCATTTTCTTAATGGTTTACAAGCATCTGACACAGTAGAAGCTCAATAAAATGTTAATCAGCAGAATAATTTGTACTTCAGGTCTTTCAAAAGACAAAGAAATATGTATAGATTATCAAATTTATATCTAGTTAAGATCTTAAAGTTTAGTAACCTATATACATAAATCAAATGAATAGCTAATTTTGGAACTGTATCCAGTTTTGGAATCTTGTGTGAATAAATTACAATTTTACATCAAGAGAAAAAGCTTATGAATGTCGTTTGTAAAAGGAAAAATGGAAGTGCAGGCTACACTTGAAGTGTAATATGTTTAACAGTTTTCTGGTTTATGCAAATTACCTGGAAAATCCAGAGCCCTGACTGCCTAAAAAGTGCCCTTCCTTATTAGCAAATGTGGTTTTTGCTTCCATAATTGTCTGGTAATGTGCCAGCATTCTTCCAGTCATATTGTCAGTATGAAATGAACATTTGTAAATGGGGTCTAATTAGACGTTGTGCTTAAAAGAAGAGGTACAAGTTAATCTGTTCTGCTCTTTCTGCTTGCTCTTCTTATAAAGAGTAGTGTAGGTGTAATCCTGTGGTTCAGATACAAACCACTTAGCAATATTAATTTAATAATGAGCTCAGCAATTCTGTTCTTATGTTCATTATTGTTACTTTAATAATAAAAAAAGAAATGCACTGATCTTTCCTTCTCAGCGTTGCAAAGAAAGAGAACCATGAAAAACTATCTTAGCAAGTTAATTTCTTTTGCAGCACTCTCTTTTTGATTCATATCTTTTCAGGAAACTTGCTCCTGAATTTACTTATTCACTTCTGTATTTTTATCCTTTTTTCTGCTGGTCACAAAGTATTCAAAGTTCTTTCAGCATTAAAAAGGAAAAGTAGGAGGAAAAGAGAAGAGACGGGAGATAAGAGGGAAAAAGGGAAAAAGTTTCCCATGATTTTACATCTTCTAACTATAACTGGCACCTTTCTTTTACTTAAGAATCAAGCTTTCCCACAGGATATTTACTAATCCTTTACCTCCCGTTCATTCTTTAAACACACACACATGCAGACACTTTAAAAGTTGATTTTTTTTCATTGTAGAAACTTGAAATGCAGTAAAATGTGAGGAAAAACAGGACTATCCATAAATTTATATGCCATGCATAACTACCGTTGTCATTTATCTATTTTGTTTATGCTTATTGCCTTTGACAGTCAGAATCTTATCATTTTGTATATACATGTAAAATGAAATTATAATCATTTTACTATATCATTAACAGTTCTTCAAAAACAAATTTTAGCTGAGCATGGTTCCACATGCTTATTATCAGAGCTATTTGAGAGGCCGAGTCAGGAGAATTCCAAGTTTGAGTCCAGCCTGAGCAACTTAAGGAAATAAAGTCTCAAAATAATAGGGGAAGAAAAAAGGGGAAAGGGGTGCAGCTCAGAGCAGTGGCCTAGCATGTGTGAGCTCCAAGGTTTAATTTTAAGTACTGAGAAAAGTTTTAAAATTTTGTGTTAATGAAATATTGAGGTTTTTTCTTAGA